CTCCAGCATCTGCAGTTCCTACTATCTCTGATACAATCAAACTTGCTAGATCTATTTTTGAAGTTTCTCTAAGGTTCCCTTGAATAGATGCCAACGGTGCCTCAGTGATTAGCACTGCTGCCTCACAGCACCCTCAGGCAACTGTCTGTGTGGAGATCGCACATTCTCCCTGTGTCTGCGTGGATTTCCTCCGGGTGCTCTGGTTTCCTCCCTCAGTCCAAAGATGTGCAGGCTAGGTGAATTGGTGATGCTAAATTGCCCATAGTGACCAGGGGTGTGTAGATTAGGTGGGTTTATAGGGGAATGGGTCTGGGTGGGATGCTCTGAGGGTTGGTGTGGACTTGTTGGGCCAAAGGGCCTGTTTCCACACTGTAGAGATTCTATGATTCCTTTTATATGCAAAAGTCAAGCCTAAGGCCAGTTTGTGAACTTCTTGCTGGATTTATGTCTTTCTGCATGCAGCAGAATCCAGCAACAATAAAAAGGAGGTTACGTTTGTGAAGATAGGACCATTGGGAGTGTATCCCTCTTATCCTTACCCTCCAACTCAATAGCACTCATAATCAACCCCCTCCCTACACCTTCACCCTCCAATGCAATAGCACTCACAATCACCTCCCCTTCCTCAAATTCTTAATTCTTAACATGCCTCTCTCACAACCAGGAGCTTACCTCTAGACCAGTGTTTCAAAGGTCAGGAGTTCAACATTCTGACAGTGATTGAGCCATTGTACATAGACACAAAGATCCAATATAAAGCTTTAGCTTGATCAAACAGTGGTAATGAAGTCCACAAATCCATTTTAGTTCAGATTAATGTCCTCCTAGTATCTCTAACTGGACCATGAACAACTACTACAGTCACTTGAGCCTAGTAAGGGATCATCTATTCTCAGGGCAGGTATTGTACTAGGAAAGATTTAGAAATTAGGAACTGTTAAAAGATTGATCTTCTGAAACAAAGGATTTTCTGGCAGCAGAGGTGAGAAGTGACAAAAATAGTGATGAGCTGGACCTCTGAGCTCATTTAGAATCATAGAGTCATAGAGATATACAGGACAGGAATGGTCCTTCAGCCCATCATGTTTGTTCTGGTCATAAGCAACTTCTTAAACTATTCTATTCCCTAGTACTTTGACCATAGCTTTGTATGCAGTGACATTGCAAGTGTGCATCTAAATACGTCATAAAAGTTATGAGGGTTTCTGTTTCAACCAGCCTTACAGTCAATAAGTCCCAGATTCTCACCACCCTCTGGGTGAAAAAAACTTTTCCTAATATCTCCCCTAAACCTTCTGTCTCCACCTTAAATCTATACCCCTGGTCATTGATCCCTCCACCAAGGAGAAAAGTTTATTCCTATCTATGCCCTCATAAATTTATACTACACAATCATGTTCCCTCTCAATTTTCTTTGCTCTAAGAAAAACAGCCCTTGTCTGTCCAATCTCTCTTCGTAACTGAAACTCTCCAGCCCAGGCAACATCCTGGTAAATCTCCAGTACAATCACATCTCTCATATAATGCGAATTCCAGAACTGCACACAATACTCTAGCAATGGCTAAACCAACACTTTATACAATTCCAACAATTTCTCCATGGTCTTAAACTCTATGCCTTGACTAATAAATACAAGTATACAATATGCTTTCTAACCATGTAACCATGTGTCCTGTTACCTTGAGTGCGGCTCTCGCTCAGTACTAACCCACCAACAGTGCAGCACCTCCTCATCACTGACCCTCTGACAGTGCAGCGCTCCTTTAGTACTGACCCTCTAACAGTGCCTCACTCCTTCAGTACTGACCCTCTGACAGTGCCACACTCCCTCAGTACTGACCCTCCAACAGTACGGCACTCCCTCACGACTGACCCGCTGACAGTGTACATGCATATCAAAGTCCCTCTGATCCTCTGTACATCCTGGAATCCTACCGTTCATCATGTATTCCCTTGACTTGTTTGTCCCGCCAAAATGAATCGCATCACATTTATCCAGACTGGATTCTAGAAGTTTGTTTTGTGACCAAGAGCCATACACAACTTCTTAACTTTTCATGATCCTTAATAAAGAACTCACATCCGTTGAGTTTGTAAGCTTATGAGGCACGATAACACAGAGACAAAGACAGGAGCTGGAACTAGGAATTCCTCAGCTCTTAATAGTACCATGAAGTCTTCAGTATGAACGGTAGGGTGGGAAAGAAACTCACTGATTTACGAAAAAACAGCACCTCCAAAAAGGGAATAGTACCTCAGTCCTATTCCCATGACAGTGCAGCACTCCCTCAGTGCTGACCACCTGACAGTGCAGCACTTTGTCAGTATTGACACTCTGACAGTGCTGCACTCCCTCAGTACTGACAATCTGTACTCTCTCAGCACTGACGCTTTGATTGTGCATCAGTCCCTCAGTGCTAATCCTCTGACAGTGCAGCACTCCTTCAGTACTGACCCTCTGGCAGTGCGGCACTCTCTCAGTATGGACCCTCTGACAGTGCAGCACTCCGTTAGTACTGACCTTCTGATAGTGTGGCACTCCCTCAGTACTGACCCTCCAACAGTGCAGCACTCCCTCAGTATTGAAGTTCCGACTGTGTGGCACTCCCTCAGTACTGACCCTCTGACAGGGCAGCACTCCCTCAGTACCGACCTTCCGACTGTGCGACACTCCGTCAGTACTGACTATCAGACAGTGTGGCACTCCCTCAGTACTAACCCTCTGACAGTGCGGTAGTCCCTCAGCACTGACCCTCTGAAAGTACAGTACACCTTCCCTGAGTCATTGAATAAGGATTTCATGATCATTCCCATCTGCAGGTGCTAAGTTAACTGCTTGGTAATTCCCTTGACTAATTCTGTCTCCCTTTTTAAACACAGGAATCATGTTAGTAGCATGACAATATTGGGCACTGTTAATTTTTTGAATTCTTTTAATAAAGATGTAGGACTATTTCTGCTTCTCTTGCCAGGTAATCAGCTATGATCCATAAAAGGCTATTGTTATCTCTGCCCATTAGCGGGAGGCAAGCACTTGTACAGTTTAAGGGGCATCACTCCACATCAGTTATGGGGCAAGGTAAGGAAACAGTCCATCATGATCTACCACAGTGGTTACAGGGAACAAACCACATTATTAGCATAACTGTACATCGCTCTGTAATGAGTTCTGAGGAAGGGTCACCGGACCCGAAACGTTAACTCTGTTTTCTCCTCCACAGATGCTGCCAGGCCTGCTAAGCTTTTCCAGCAACTTTGTTTCTGTTTGCTCTGTAATCATCTATCCAACTGAGCTCAATGACTCCAATTTTAATACAATCTATCCAGGATTTTATCGTGTTCAATTATAATTTAGTTTCTCCAATTCTATCTTAAACACTTTTATCTCGTTTTTTAAAAATATTTCTTTGCCTAGCAGCATGTCCTCCCCGTAAA